CAGACACCCCCCCCCCAGCTCCTATCCCGATGGTTCACACTTGCTATCTGGCCAACCTAATGCTTCACCACATTTGGTATGTGAGAAAGTTTGGTTCTGTATCTGAAGGTGTGGTTTGTGCCCAGCTCTAATTACTGTACTACAATGCAGCTGTTTAATGAGCTGTATGATACTGCATAACTTCTCTATTTATAATTATCCCCCTAGGAATGCAGGGGCTCCTGTGCTGAGCCACCCTGTGATCAAGCGCTAGGATCCTGCATAAAGATGCAGAGTAATTATAGCTGACTCATGCTGGCAGGTGGATGCTGTTAGCTCCAGCCAGGATATGAGAGTGGAGAGCAGCTTTCTGAGACAGAGTGGGAGCAGGCTTTGTACTGGCAGTCAATTAGCAAAGCAGTGTTTGGATTATAATGTTTGTGTTTTCTGCCAGGAGTAGCGTGGGAACTCCACCTGCTATGGAGGGCTGGAAGGTAACTTGTTGCTACATCGCTTGCAGTAAGAGGTTGAGCTAAATAATGAAGGGGTGTTAGTTATGTAGGAAACTTATATTCGTTTCCTCTAGCTCATAGAGTTCAGTGCTAGAACTATCCCTAGCTAAATAGCTGGTTTGTTGGCTGGGGTAGAAAATATTTGTGGTACCCCCTGAACGGCTGAGGGGACAAAAAACAAACCTGATTCGTCTGTCCTCCTCCCCCTAGCGGTTGATCTGATGCCCCAGGAAGCTGGCATCCAGGGTGGGCACCCTGATAGCTACAGGGCCAGTCTAAGGGACAGGCAAAGTGTCTCACTGGAATAAGGCAAGGGAGGGCCTTAATTTCTAAGTGACACTGAAGCCTGGTGATATGAGGTGCACAGGTGACAAAGTCAGAAATGGGCAAAAAACAAGTGAGGGTTACTAGCATGTGAGCACAGTAACGTGGTGTGCGTTCAGAAATTCAAATGAGCCAAATCTCCTGATCTGATTATGGGACTGAAGGGATTTCAGCCAGCAGCAGAAAGGACCCCTTGCAGAATCAGCGTCTTCAAAACTGGCAGAGATTCTTCGGTGGGGGA